GAAGACAGGAATCACAAGCTAGGAGTTACACGCTTAGAAATGCATTCCTGGCTACTTGTAGGTACCCACATACTGTGGAATTTTCTGTGATGCAGCAAGGCGCAAAGTTGGAGCCTTTCTGGTAAAACTAGTGATTAAATCATGTCACCTTCCTTGTAGAGCTGAGCTCTCATCAAATGTAGATGTAAAGCAGTATTGTACAAAACTCTTCATGTGTCTGTTTGTCAAAACACCAAGATTATATTAAGTCTCAAAATCTGGAAACAGGTAGGTGATCTCTTTTTACTGTATAACAAGAGAACAAGCTCTTATTTCAGAATTACACTTTCTGGGCTTGAAAAGATACTCCTGTGCATTTCATTTTCTTGAGACTATCAACTCTTATGGAACAGTTGATGGAAAGTGGAAGAAGTGGAAGGAGATGGAAGGCAATAACCTCTATGCACAATTGTGAAGATGGATACAAATTATGCATGCAGCTGAAAGCAGGAGAATTTTGCCAGTTTGGCAAAATTACAGGAACTCATCATTAAAAGTATCTAAATAGAAGATCTATTTCTCTAAATATACTACAAGTATCTAAATAGATGTCTATAAATATTTAATAATGATATGAGGAGTTCTTAACTTCAGATTGAAATGGGAGTTAAATGCCTAGAGAAGTTTTAAGACCTGACACTCACTCTTTATTGTGAAAAACAACATTTTTAAGGTTCCTGGTGGCTGCATGCAGATTGTTTCATCAACAGTAGCAGTAATGCAATGGGGCACATTATTTCATGAGGGGTTTTGATCACTCTGTAATTCGTGGATATTGGGTAACTCCTAGATGAGAAAACTTAAGAACTTTATTAGTCACTGAGGTATTTCAAGTCTACCATTAGATTTTGAGTATTCTTCAGTCCTGATGCAGACCTTGCTCTACCATATGTCCTGACAGTGCTCCAGTGCTCCAGCACTGCTGATGAAATCAACAGCTGCTATTCCTACTGCAGTTGCGAAGAGCACTTAAATCATGTTTGTTCAAGGTACCCAACCTTCCAATACTCTGAGATGTATACTGTTAATATACTTCAAGACAGAAACTTGAAAGATCTAAAAAGTATTTGACATCTGCCACAGTGACTCAATTAATTATCATGCTGAATTAATTAGCTTGCTCCGTCTCCTGAGCCAACAGCAGTGACACTGTATTCAGCAACACAGTACTGCTTGAAATAAGCAGCACTTCAACAGGGTATTACATGCACAGGCTGTACACAGTGCAGAGTACAAGGTTAGTAAGTAAGCTGTAACTGTTATAGCGAGGTAATGAATCCTTTGAGGCAGTACCACATCACTAACACTAAACAGTAAAGTCAGGTAAGACACGTGTAGTCAGCCACAAACATATTTTCCAATAAAGAGACCAGCTGCAAAAATTGTGATATTTACTCACCTGAGGTTCCCTGAATTTTTCTTTCCTTTCCTCTCTATACCAAAAAATCACATTAAAGCTCTTTTCCAAAAATAATTTGATGTTTCTAACAGTGCAATGTTTGAAGTTCTCATTCTGAAATGAACTAAACCTGATGTCAGCTGCTGATGTTAAAGTTTGATTGAATTCTAGGGAGGTGAGGCTTTACCCAAATGAGCTTTCCAAAACAGATATAGATAACGTAAGTAAACAAACGCAACTCCCCTCATGAACAACAGAGAGCATGTACGCTAGTGAGAAAAGTAATCAAATGTGTCAAGCAAACAGAAAAATCATAAATAAAGCAGAATCATTTTAAGGAAAAAAAAAAAGATAAAAATATGTAGAAGCCGGGGGTGGGTTTGTGTTGCTTAAACAGTAAATTAAAGGTCTATCTTAAGGTTTACAGTTCTTCACACAGCATTTTAAAGTAACAAATGTAGGATTACAGGAAACATCTGATATTCAGGAAAAAGAAACAATACTTTGAATCACAGAATAATTCAGGTTGGAAGGGACCTCTGGAGGTCATCCAGTCCAAACTCCCGCTCAAAGCAGGGCAAACTTCAAAGTCAGATCCAACTTCGAAGTTAACTCAGATTGCTGAAGATCATACCCAGTTCAGTTTTGACTATCGCTAAGAATGGAGTTGCCCAAGGGACAAAACAATATTGCTGAGGACTACAATTCTGCTTACAGGAACTTTTTCAGATTTACAAATATGTTTGTATTAGTAGGCAAAACAAAAATAAAATCTTTCAAGTGTTAGCAAAAATAGACTTTCTGGGGTTTAATTTGACAAAAAAGTCCTGAAGATTTTCATCCTACATCGCTCTGAACTAGGTTGAGAAAGTTGTTCCATTCCATTACAACAGCCAAACTAAAAAGTCAGCTCTGCTCACTGCTTAATTACAAGTTCATTAAAACCAAAATATCTTAGCTAGATGTTTTTGTTACAGCAAAAGCAGTATTTGTCCAAAATTACGAACTAATAACAGACCTTAATGTATGCCTGTGCTACCAAAGAAGAAGCAAGCTCCTGCTAGGACTGTGGTTGCTCTACACCCCCTTAAGAAAACAAAAACGAAGCAACATGATCAACTGCTGAAATGTCGCAAACTCATCCTAAGAATACCAGATAATGACAATTGTGTAGTGAAGAGTCAATCAACATCATCTCCCATACTTAAACATTATCTTCAAATCTTCTATACCCGATGAAGTGGAACAAGTGGACAGGGCAATAGGGACAACACAAAACTAGCGTTTTTACTAAGGTATTAGGTGGACCAACTTTGAGCTACACCAGGACTAAGGTTTCTGTTCCATGAAAGTTGATGAAACTAGTAATACTGGAGTCTTAGAAAATTATTTGTATTACAGGTAGTTCTTGCAAATGACATTTTATGAACAACATTTTGAGAATGCTGATAGACCAAGAATAAAACAGATGAAGAAATAAAAATGAAACGGATGGAGAAAATGGAGACAGGTATTCAAATTGCCCAGTTTCCCATTTCTAACAATAAGATGCTTTGAGTGTCCAGTGCTTTTGAAAATCCACCCTTTATTCAGGTGCCTGAATGGGAAATCTGACCTGGGTTGGGAATACTGAACTCTAGGAAACAGACAAAGTTTCCATGCCACTTTCTGTAACATCTTTTTAGCACCTTTTGATTAATAAATTATGCTAGAGTCTATAAATCATCAAGATGTTAAATGGCTACTATGTACTCGTAACAGAATAACACTTCACTACAATTTTAATATACATATTTACAGAAAGTAACATGCATGCTATCCAGCAAGCCCTTGGAAAGAGAGCTCCAATATACAGGCATAGATTCTCCACGGAGGAGCTAAAGACTGTCGGTTCCTCCCCTTTTCTCCCATGTCCACATAACACTTCTCTCACGCTGTCCCAGATGGTACTTCACCAGCTCAGTGCTCCTCACTCTCTCCAGGTTCCTCCAAGGGCAGGACAACACCCCTGTCATGGGGAAGCTCCGCTTCTCCCCTTACAGCACAGATGTATCTACCCCAAATGTATGTAATACATTTCTGTGAAACAGTTCCACAGGTCTTTATGCTAATATATTCATGCAAAGCCTGTAATAGCAAACAGTGATCCAGCTGAAGATAATGGTTCTTCAGAAGTATCCCACAGGGCAATCCATGTTCCAAGATTGTCTAAACCCTTCTTCTAGAGATATTATTCGGTTTTTTTCAGTACAGGGTCACCTTTCCGATATTCTCAGAAAATTAATCTGAACTATATACAAATAATATTGAAGCTCAGACTTAAAACCAACACAAACAAAAATGAAATGAAGACCTAGAAATGACATGACTTTCAGTGCACTGTAAGTAATACGATCCACATACTTTCTGCAATCAGAATACAAACCAAGGCTAACTGAGAATGGATTATATGACAGGTGCCTTTTGGTATCTTTCAAAGTAATTTTAATCTGACGGAAGATCTTTCTGTGTTCAGTAACGTTAACATTAAGGCAAATTTAATGAATTTTATCCTAAAATAATGTAGCTATTTATTTTCTATACCATCCCTTAATATAAATTAAGTACTCAGCAATTAATGCTGGGAAAAATTTAAAAAGCCACTAAAAATCAGCTACTACTACTGGAATGCAACAGCTTGGTTCAGCAAACAAGGAAGTGACATTTCCCTTCTGTAAAATAACAAGCTAAATACTATTAACCTGTGCTCCAAATAACTTTACATGGACGGTTGCCATAGATGAACTAATTGGAGAAGAGCCAAATAGCGCTGTCCATGAAAGCTAACAATGCCTGTTTTCGAACGCTCCGGCTGCGCAATGATTCAGGCTATTCCCCAAAGAATGGCACACAGTATAACGAAGCGAAGCATCTCGGAGCATCTACGTACCAAGGTGTTATTATTCAGATCCATCTTCCCAGCGAAAGGCCCCCATGTTGTTCCAACCGGAAGCTGCTGCCGGCTCTGAATCTTGCGCTCCCCGTCTTTCTGGACCACCTCCAACTCTCCTGCAAACAAAGGAAACAAGCAGTGTTGAGAGTACTTTCACTTCTGCCTTGACAACAACCACCTCTGCCTTTGTGCTGGCTTTATACGCACAATGTTCTGAGGACCCATATAATGAGAATTAATTATGCTTGTCTGAAAAACAACTGATCTTGTCATCCTGCAAAAGGAAAACAAACCTCTTCCCCTTATAATTATATTCAAATTTGGTTTAGAAAGTCCCGTTTTTTTCTTGCATCTTTTCACACGCATTAGAGTTTAAAGGCATTTTTATTCAGAACAGCAGTTTCATAAAAGTTCTTAAATGCTGGGGAAGGGGGAGATGACAGCTAAAAGGAGAGGGTGCAGCAGCAGACACACCTGGTGTGTCGACCTCCTTGATGCATTTTGCTGTCAGGAGACCACATTCTGAAGCAGTCAGCTACTAAAATTTTAGGGACATACTTTATAGCAATATAAACCCCAAACAACTCTACTAATTTTGAAGAAACTACTAAAAACATTTACTACACTTAAAAATACAAGGATTTTAAACCAAGTGAGGTTTTACAGGCAGTAACATTTCAGAATGAGACCCAAAATAATTCAAATTGTTAGCTTAAGGTTTTAGCACAAAATATGTAAAAGCAATGGGGGGAGGGTATAGTGCATTTTTCAAAGTAAATTTTCTTTTTGAAAGCAAGGACTTCAAAATGAAACCTTAAGTGAAATTGTTGCTTTAGCTCACTTTAATTTTTCTGGGGTTTTCCAGTGAAAGGAGAAAGAAGAACACACAACTGACCATTACTGTAGAAGGGAAAATAAAATTCAGTCACCACCTTTCTCCCCAATATATTCTTCACTTTGTTTCAGAACCAAAAAAAAAATACTCTGCACAACTCTTGTTTGAGAGCAGTCTCTTCCATATGCCTATTTTTCTACGAACAAATGTTTCAGTTAAAAGTGTAGTAACAGTTGTGCTTAGATACACAATTTCTAACATTCTTTGCTAAAAAAAATTAAAATAAATTCTGGTTTCAATTTTTTAAGAGGATAAAATGGCACAAGAAGGAGACTGGTCTGTGCTTTTCTTGTCAGACGTTTAACTGCATTTTTACATTTTACTTCCTGATGGAAGGCTGAAAATCTGTTGCTGTTCTCAGGAGCAGCAGAGCTCACCCCGACCTCACTGTAGCCATGATTTCTCCCAACCCGTTTTCCCTGCTGCTAAAGCGCCTTTGTCGCTTTCCATACCAACCAGATGCAACAGTAATTCCTGCCTTTTGCATCAAGGCGTCCCTTCTCAACAACTCTACCCCAAATCAGGGTGGTGCTTTTCCACAAGCAGGGAGAAGTCCAACTATGCAAGAAGTCAACTCATCCCAGACTTAGAACTGGCAGTTGTGAAATGAACCTTGGGCCGGAGGAAGTGAGTAACTCCCCCTGGCTTACAGGCAGTCTCTGCAGACTTCCCCAAGCTAACCATTCCCATGGATGCCTGGAATCAGGTTGCAGCCAGGCTGTGAAGGTTTTCCTTGTCCGCAGGGGTTAATCTCAGCTGTTTTCCAAAGAGAACACTTGGCTCCAGCTTCCATTTTCAAGCACAGAAATCTAAATTTCACCTCTGAGTGTTGCAGATTACAAAACTACTCTACGTAAAATTGTGCATCAGATCCTTCCTGCAAACTGGAACAAATCTACGAAATAGAGTTGTATCAGTTTACAAAAGCTTCTATGTATGCGGGTGAGTCCTCATCGTGACAGTGCTATGACATTTTAAAAGGCAGTATGTGAGCAGGAAAGCTTATGGATTAATTATATCTAATTTACACGTGATATATATGCATCCAAACAGAAGGGAAAAAAAAAAAACAAAAACCACTTTTTCCCTCTCACAGTCACATTGTTACAAATTGTATTAACTTTAAAAAATCTCTTTATATGTTAATTACAGAAGAGAGAAATCTTTCTGGTATTGCAAGGTAACATGTTGATCACTTAGGCATATTGCAGCATTTTCTCTCTACATAGAGATGAAAACTGTAGCATTTGCTGGCTTTTACACACTAAAAAACAGCCATGTCTATGGACATGTCACATTTAACTGATACCAGAGGAATCATGAGAATCTTTGAAAACCCTTTTAAAAAATAATTCAGCCTCCCTTTCTGCCACTGACATTTTTCATTTGAAAAGGGTTCAGACACAGTCAAACAGTGACTCCTTATCTGTACCTGTGGATTTACAAGCAGGCCTGTCTTTTAATGGATTAAGAACGACAAACTCAGGGCAGATCATCCAGTGATATCCAAAAACCTACCTAAGTTTTAAGGTACACATCATTACACCTTGTATTTTAAATAAAATTAATAGCATGAACCTTACACCTGGTAAGTAGTTTAGGTTTGAGGCACACATAAAAACAAGCAATTATTTTCCAAAACTGTATTTTTTTTCCTCCAGTTGATAATTAAATAAGTTAACATGGATTCTTTCTCTCTTTTATTGTCTTTTGTTACAGCTCCAAGTCGTAGTTTGGGCAATACATTTCAATATGTATGAATACATTGACATGTACTACAGATGGGGAAACATTATGCTGAATTGTACCGAAGCTGCTGTATTTTCCCCTCCACTCAGAACACCATGACGGAGCAGCAGACTGCAGACAGGGTTACCAAACATTTTGCTGCATAACCTTCCTGTTTCCCTTGATCATAGTTCTCCAAAAAAAATACATTTCTCTCTGGTCACCATGACCAGCAGCCATTTTAACGCTATGGGTGACTGTTAGAGTTGGGAAGAATAATCTGCTCCTATGTTTTGGCACACACAGACGTTTCGGCTATGCTTATACAAGGTGCAGCACATTACAATTTGATCCTTGGCAAAGAATTTTCTTTTTTCACTGAAAATCTTTGTTTAGGGCAAAAAATTAACACTAAGAGAGCTGTAAGTGAAAAAAAACACTGCACATCAGGGTCTACAAGCATCTGCTAAGATTATTTTGTTTTTCCCTACCAGAGCCTGCATCTTCTGTAAAATGCCTGTATATGTTCCTTTGTCTGCCCTAAGCAGGAAGGCCAGGGGCTGGTATGAGGGCTTGTAGAAGAAAGATTACAAATGTCACTATTAAAAATCCTCTCCCAAGTTCCCCTGACCCCACAGCAAGGAACCTGCAACTTTCCTGCATTCATTTACAACATTTTTCTCCTCTGAAATTTCCTATATGGTGAATGGTATCGAAACTGCGGCAAAAGACAGGCGCAGTCTCCCTCTGAGGAGAACGGGGCTGCTCTCTTCTCCCTGCCTGCTTCTCACGAGGACGCTGGTTTAAGTGGTGCCGAACCTGTGGCCTCAAGCGACTTGTGACCTCAGGAGAGTTTTCTGGAAGGAAAAAAAAAAAAAAAAAAAAAAAAAAAGAACCTCACCCCATGACTCTTAATTAAAAGAGTTTGAAAAATGCATCAGCAAGACAAGATTTTCCCCTTCAGCCTTAGAAGTTCAGGTGTGAGTCAGAAGGGCTCTCTGCAGCTACCATCCCCTGCACAACTGCTCAGCATCTCCACAGATTACATCAGGAAAAGGAAGAGGAGCGGAGATTTTATTGCTGTATCACCACTTGCAGTAAGAAGTGTAAAGGCTCAGCTGGTACTGACCCTTCACAGGTGCCTGCACATGGAGATCCCAACAAGCAGGGAGAAAAGGAAAGAAAGGATGAAAAACTGCTGCAGCTGCATTTAATCGTCACTCCAGCCCAAAGGAAGCAGAGAATTCTGTGCCAAACACTGTTAGGAGCTTCTAGTGATCAGCAATTGCAACAGACCACCTCAGTACTGGACACTGAACATAATGTTCCTTCATGGAAGAGCAAATTATAATGTATAGAATTCATACACCCCCCCGGGACTCATCATTCCTACAGCAAAGTCGTGAAGCAGCTGTATTTTGCTGTTTTCATCCTAGGTTGTCAACTGTCCCATTGAAAAGGACAGCGGCAACCATAACAGAAGCAGCACTAAGAAATGTAAGTAGAGAGGAAGTGATGCCCCACTTTTAGCTTTTGAGAGTCAGGTAAAAAAAAAAAAAAAATTACTTAAGAGACATTCCATTTAGTGATATTTACTTCCCTTTTCCTTGATATAGAGCGAGTCCTTTTTTTCAGCTTGTTCTTCAGGAACACACTTATTTCCAGCTTGCCGAGTAAAGTTTATACAAAATATTTGAGACACATAGTATGGGCTAATCAATTTTGGTAAAAGATAATGCTGTTAGTGCTGTGGGCTGTTTCTCTTATCTTGTTGATGTAGCATACTTTTAAAGTCTGTGATTACTCACAGACTTATGATAGCTGCACTGTAAAAGAAGCCCCAAGTCATGACTCACTAGTACAGCTACAAAACATCTCATGGCTTTTAAGATATTAGGCCACCTTGGTGGATACAAAAGCAGAATGAAAGGACTCAATTTAGGATTCTTTTCTTACATATACATATTGTTTTAGGAAAGCCACATAGCGCTTGCATAAAATAGAAGGCAGAGAGGTCACTTTAGCTTTGTGTTCTTTTACGGCAAAATCAGAGTAATGTACAAAACCTCCACAAAACATGTGGTGTACTCAAGAACCCAACAACAGCTTTTGGCCCTTAACACTATTTGACCACAGTTCAAATACCACAAGAATTCAACTATAAACAGTATTTCTGAAAAAAATAATATCGGCTTTCATTCCATTCTGGAATAAGAAACAAAGGAGCATATGTCTGAAGGTGAATGATGAACAGCGTTTTGGGGGAGAAAAAGTGAACTACTTTGTTCAGAAGCAAGCGTATCCAGATTTGTAAATGTTTAACATTTCTAAGCAAGTCACTGATAGCTTTGGCAGTAGGGCTTTTTTTATCGGGAATAGCTTTCTAAGTGGAGTCAGTTAAAAAGAATGAGTAAGCTCTTCCTCTGCTATAATTAGAGATTGGTTATTTGACATCATGGGGCTCTGCTAATTTCCACTAGCAAATGGCTCCTT